TGTGTGGCACTGACTTCAGTCAGTGAATGTATGTGTGTAGCAGGTCCTCAGGAACCTGTTAAGTGCCATTTTCTGTCTTTATCCATCTTGCTTTCAGGCTCCTGTGTTTCAAAATAGCACATACACCGCGTGTGTATACATTTTTGTTTCTATGTGTGTAGTGTGTGTGAGCATGTTGGTGTACAGGGGTGGATATACTATAGCTGTGAACTGGGGTAACACTTTGTCTTGAGTTTTCTGCCCTTGCAGATGCACCTTGTATCTGTTGAGGATTCTAACCTTATCCCTTTACAGAATCATAGAACCACAGACTGGTTTGGGTTGGAAGGGACCTTAAAGCTCATCCAGTTCCAATCCCCTGCCATGGGCAAAGACACCTTCCACTGGAGCAGGTTGCTCCAAGCCCCATCCAACCTGGCCTGGTTGGGATGATGGAGGATCCCTGGTTGGGATGATGATCCCTGAAGGGATGGAGTCAGCAGAATACTCAAAGTGAGTAGTATCCTTAGGCCTGTCTGTTCCATTTAGCTTCCCAGTGGTTAAGAATCAGGCTTTCCTTAGTGTTGCAGGAGGACACTCTTCATTTGAATCCTTTTCCCCACTACCCGTCACGTGTTTCAGAAGCTGTTTTGTCTTCAGAAAACCCCGCATCTGAAGTGACTGGTGTCTTAGAGCTGGTTCTTGTTGCAGATTTATGTAGAATATCACCCCTACTTTATGCCCCATTTATAAACAGAAGATCTTCAGCAGCTTGTGGTGATGGTGCATGTCCAAAGAGAAGTCATTGGCTAGAGCTAGAGCTAGTCACACCATGGGCATGTTAAGCAGTAATCTTGTAAACTGTTGAGGCCAACATAAGTCGGCATTCTCACTAGAAACAGGTATTTTCCCTTTTCCTCCTTTCTTTAGCCGTTTCTTTTCCATGCTTTCTCCTACCTTGATAGCATATTCTTACAGCCTCATGATGGAAGCCACCAACAATCTCAGAAAGGAATTATGGTTGGGTTTACCATAGATCTATTCCCTAATTCACTTCATCATGGAAACGATTTGTGCAGCTGCGGGATTCCTTGTGGAGGTGTCACTGCTCACCCATGGGGATACGCAGGAGGAGAAACAGAAGGGGTGGGTGCTCCCCTTAAGGGCACCTCTCACTATCTCCCTTGTTGACTTCTCTCATGTCCTCCCACCTCTCTCTCCTCACTTAGCTGCTTTGATTCGGAGCCACCACTGGGTCAGCCAAGTGGGTTTCTTTCTGTTGGTTTTGGGGGTTTCTTGTTTGCTCACCGCTGCCTTCTTCCAGTTTGAAGTTTGCCGCCTGCTGGCCCCTGGGCCAGTGACCCTTGTGCGAGCTGTCTGGCCGCGCGGTGCACACTGTGTTATCATCAGCGGGGCTCTTTCATTTCCAGCTGGGGCTTTTGGTCTGGATTGGCTCCATCGTGCCAGCAGCTCTGATTGATGGCCTTATTGACAATCAGGTTGACCCTTGTTCGGCAGGCTGACATGCTCCGTATTTCACGGGCCGGCGTTTGATGTCTATCAAAGAGGTGGTCAGGTCATCAGAACAGCCAATTAAAACGATAAAGAGGGAGGAGTGGAAGATGAGGCTTTAACTCTTTCCAGCCCATCATGCACATCTTTATAAAGTGAAGGGCTTTTTTGCTGTCAAAACAAGGGCTGAGAGGCAGGTAAAAACCAAGACTTCATCTCTCTAAAGAGTGGGAACTCTTTAAAAATTGAGTAAGCAGAGCTCAGGAAACACTTCACTGTCTATATAGTTGTCAGTTACTTAGAGTCTGGATCAATTGCCTTCCTTTCAATGTTTTTTTTCTATTCTTTTTCTGAACAGCATATTCTAAAGGAGACTGTGAAATTCAGCATAGCTTAATGAATTTATAATGATCCATCTCGAACTCAGACACTGCTCAGAAGACAAGGATTTTGTATCATCCTTGTTGTTACCTGAAAAGGAGAAAGATGCTCCCATTACAGTTGCTGGTAGCTGACAGCTGGCAGAAGGTAATAAATTTAGGAGTTATTTAGCATCAGCTTCTGAATACTGGTATCAGAAGAACATGCTCTTCACATGAGGAGCCTAATGAGGGAGAAGGAATTAAGAGGACCACTGGGACCAGGGATAATAAAAGGTCTATCATTTGTCAGTAGCTGGTGTTTGTACCAGCACAGGGTCACGCACAGTTGCTTCAATGTTAATTTGGGGGCTGTGTTTTAAGATAATGCAGCCTTTCCTAAGATGCCAGAAAAAGCACACTAGATCCCTGACTTTTTTCTTGCTGAGATTTATTCCATGCTTGCACTGAAGTTTCCAGGTGTCAGTTTTAGTGGAAACGCTATCAAAATAAAGCTTGGATCAGGGTTAAGGTAAGGTGACTTTTTGAGCAGTTCACCAGATTCAGACACAGAATTTCCGTGTGGCTTTATCTGTCTTGTACTCCAGTTTCCAGGCTGTAAAAGGGGGTAGAACTACCTCCTTCCCCCAAGTACATTAAAATCTAGGAAACACAGTAATGCTAAGAACTCTCTTGGTGTCTGAATAAGAGAAGAAAATCCCCCTATCCGCTGCAGAAGATACCATACTATACTTGCAGAGCAGCAGAAGATCTCAAACACCTTCCTTCACCTGCTTGTACTTGTTCACTTTTTGCTTGAGTAATCTAACTAATGCAAAGGCATCGAATCCATTTTCTGACTGTTGGGTAAATGATGGTTAAGTGTCAGGAGATTTATTTAATTGTCTGGCTATTAAAGAAAAAAGTAAAGGTAGGTCTGCTGGGTGAAAGCTTTTATGCTTTTAAATGAGGTATTGCTGTGATTAGAGTTTAAACAGCAATGATTTCCTCAAAAATGCCTTGGCAATCATCACTGGCTTGTTTGATTGTCCACATAACTGTACCACCCTCGCTGCCAAGAAACTCATCTGAACCACCAACGATAATAATAGCTATTTTTTCCATTAAGTGTGCAGCAGATGTAATATTCAGGGACAGGAACATCTTCATTAGGCAGTACAGAAAGTGAACACATTGTTCACAAACCAGCCTCAAGAATAATGGACTAGAGAGACTTAAGAGGTGAGGGATGGAGGTTGTGGGGATGGGAAAGGGGTTTAAAGCTTCATGAACCACATACAGAGAGGATTTTAGTGGGATATGGGCAATTGACTCCCTTAAGTGTCTTTGAAGAGGCTGGTCTAGAGGTGGAGAAACTCCACATGACTCACTATACTGCTGCTTAGTCTCATCACAGTGTCTCAGTGATCATTTTACTCTTTTTCTATTTCTTTAATTAAAAAAGCCAAGAATACAAAGCTAATTCACGTGGCATAATCAGAACAACAGCCCAATGATGACAGGTTCCTGAGGGGAGTTGATGCAGGTGGGAAAACAGCTGCCCTTCACTGTACCTGGATGCCTTCGGGACTGCAGAAAATCCCAGACAATTCCAGAATGCAAACAAACCAAACCCTTTCTTCATGATTTTTTCCCATGGGAAATCTGTTTCCCAAGTGAATGCCTCTTTCCTGCTAGCTCTTGTCCCAGAAATCTGTCCTGTGCTGGGAGTGCAGCTCAGGCTGTGTCTTTGCCAGGGCATCTGTTCCTTGGGGGCCTCTAGAACACCGGTACCCAAGGGCAAAGAGAGGTATTCTTCTGTGTCCTTCTTCATGCCTTTCTTAATTTCACCTTCACTAATACATTTAGGCACCGGGAGCTACTGGTTCCAGGTGTCAGGCATCTGTAGGATTAAGGCTGACACTTGCCCTGAGACTCAAGCAGGAATATTAGTTTCCCATTTCTCATTGCCAGCCCCTGCTTGGGAAATCACAGGCAGAGCAAGCAAGGAGACCCAGTTTGTGTCTCTGTCAGCAGACTGCACCAGCAAGGGAAGGGCCGTCTGTGAGCAAGGCTAAGCTGCTTTTTCCTCCTCCCTGCCCTCATCAGTCCTAAGTGCCATTCAGCAATGTTAGCTGCCTGCTCCTCTCAGTTGGACACCGATTACTCCCTGTTGGAGAGCTGTCAGTAAGGGGAAAGCCATACATCGCGGTGGGAAGTAATCTCACCCAGCAGGAGGGCACCTCTTTCCAGCCAAAACAACGTGACTTTGACAGCTTTGATGTATTTATTATCTTCTTGGTGCAGAAATGCTGCCACAGCGGCGCGGGGAGGATGCTACTGGTGACTTGGAAGAGAAAGCAAGGAGGACAAAGTGCCAAGGAGTTGTCTGCAGACAACTGATGGCAGGGCACAGGAATGCATACAGAGAAAGATGGGTATGAAGGAAAGGAAAAGACTGTTGTAAAACGCCAATTCCTTTTATTCATGTGCTTCACTCATCTCCTGGACTCAAGGGCTAAGGAAAAGCAAAGAGCAAGTGAAAAAATAGCTTACAAGCCAGATGGGGCATGGTAACCCTGCCAGGCTGAGCCATGGGAAGGGTGGGTTTAGAGAGCTATCACCTTGGTGAGGAACACGAATCACAGGCTCTTGTGCTCCTTGCCCTTCCGGGCTTGGCTCCCCTTTGGGCTCACACTGTGAGCTGGGAGGGTTTCACTCAAGTGCTGTCTGTCAGGTGGGTTTTGCCAGCCCCAGTTTGAGTCCATAAAGTGTGAAGAGACATTTTGACTGTAAGAGAAAGTAGTCAGGATCTTTCAGGCCAGAGTTGTGTGCCAGTCCATAGGCTTCATCCAATTGAAACTCAGCATAGTTCCTTGGTTTGAACTCCTGGGTAGCAGTGAGGGTTGATCAAGAGCCTATGATAGCCAATGAGTCTGGCTTTTGAGGGGCAGGCAACCCATTTCTTCTACACTGGTGTTTCAAGAGTAAAATCCTCTTAAAGAAATCAAGTAACCTCTCTGAAGTCCCCTGGCCATGTGCAGGTGTCTTCTCTTGGCAGCAATTAAGTAAGACTTGAAGACTTGAAGAAACCTGTGTGCACCAATAGAGCAAATAAGGCCTTATTGCCCTGACCAGCCCCACCTGGGTCCCCCAGCCTCTGCTCATTGGTCCAGGAGCTGATCTTAAGCTCAGTCCCTCAGCTTTGCTCTCTTTTACAAGCACAATGCTAGGGTTGCCTTTTCCCTTTGTGTCTTTATGGAGGATTCAGGTTGAGTAGTTTTATGCTGGAGCTCGCACCCTATGGTTCTGCAACTGGGGTGTGTTACCTGGTGCCTATGTTGCTTTGAGAAGAGGAAAAGAAGCCAACCTGTGCTGATAAGTGAAAAGCGAACTCTTTTGTTCTCAGCCTACATGTAACATCACAAGTGGGAAGGATACAGGTGACTTTGGAGCCTCCTTAAAGGATGAGGAAAGCTTTTCCTGTGTCATGAGGAAAACCTACTGTGGGGTGAGGCTGACTTTACAGAAGTCTCCTCATTGACTGGCTGAAATAAACTGCCTGCCCAAAGCCACCTTTGCCACAAGGATCCCAGAGAAACAGGAGTGCCCAGAAGAGATGGAAGGAAAGGCACGATCTGCTCCTAACTGTGAGTAAGCGAACTTTACTTTGGTGTGCAAAGACTGAATAAGAAGCAATGTATGTAGTGAGTAGCAGGACTGCAGAATGGTGCTTCATCAGAATGGAGCTTCTCTGCTGCGTTGGGTGGTGGATGTGTTAAGAGCCAGAGTGTTAAGCTGGCTCTTTAAGAACCTTCTCTCCAGAAGAATGTTGAAGCTTGGTAACTTGTGTTGAGAGATGTAGACCTGGTTCTGGTTGCATTGTGGCTGGAAAGAGGGTGTACAAGGAGCTGTTTTGTCTATACTGAGCTTTGATTTTTGTTGCTTTGAACTTGGCTGTTTCCTTCATTTTCTGGCCAAATGTGGAGTGTGGAACAAGTGGTTTTTGGCTGAAAAGAGGCCAAATATGCTGATGCCTGTACGTAGTAGTTCTCAAATACTGCTTTAAAGTGATGAGGTTCTTTTGGTGGTTCACCACACATGTTCAGGTGGAGAGCTGATTATGATCCTGCTTAGACTGAATAGCAATCATTGTGCTAATTGTGGTACAGCAAACAATCAGTTTTATGCTTTCTTTGTCTCTAGTTCTTTCTCCTTAACTAAGCATGTCAGTTTTAGTGCTGGGATCTTTATGACAATAAAACATTCCTGTTATTGTTACAGCTTTTGATATGGGTTGTTTAATGAATGTTATTGTTCTGTGTGGTGTGGCATGAACGTGTGGATTGTGACAGTGCCACTGAGGGCCCTCCATGCAAGTGAACCTTGGTGTGGAAGAGGCTGTCTGTGTTGCTAAGGGCTTTCTAGGTGCTTTGCTGCAGTTGATTTCCTGTGCATCGTGAGCATTGTCCATACATACTGCATAAGATCTCATGTAACTGCTCCTTAACACCTTCTTCCTACATGCATTTTCACGCAATCTTATGTCCTTACTAATGCACTCTGTGTGGCAGAAGGATCGTGCTGCTTTCTCCCTTCTGCATAGCCCAAGTTTCTATACAAGCCCTAAGGAGCTTCCCCAGTTATTGATTATTCCAGCTGTAGTGGCATGCTTTGGATAGCAGAAGTCTGGTAGGTCACAGTACTCATTTGTGGTATAAACTCTTCAACCCCCTGCAAAGTATCTCCTCCTGTTCTACCTGTACAGGGGGCACACTGTGCTGTGTGGGGCTTTGTGTCATCTGCCGAAGTGAACTGTTTGGCAGCAGCATTGGGTCCCTTCTGGGATTTCTTTAATTATTCAACCCTTATTTTCAGGGGGCAGAAGCCGTGGGAAGGGTGAAGTGTGATACTGGGTTAGCTTCTTAAAAATGCTTGGCTTTTAATTTAAATTGATGCTGAATAACGGCAAGGAGTGGATAACGCAGTGCTTTGCATTAAGAGGGGGTATCTGCATAAACTTCCTGCTCAAAATAGCCTTCAGGAGGAGGAAAGCTTTGCCTGTGTCCTCAGGGCGGTGAGGTGCTGGCTCCCCGTGCTAGCCACCTCTGGAAGGCTGCTCCACAGCCCCATTGTTTTCATTGGAAACACTTTGTCGCCGTTGTGATCCACACTGGGCTTTGTGACCTCTGGAAAAGCATCTGCGTTGGCAGAGGTCTTGGTGAGGAAAGCAGGGCTGCTTCAGCCTGTGACTTCACCCGTTCCCATCGCCTTGGTTATGGCGGAGAGGCACAAGTTCAGGTAGGAAATATGCTGTGGTTTGCTCCTGTAGCTGTTACATCCATAAATTAAGGGTTTGTTTCCCTCTCCCAGCCCTTTTAAGCTGCCAGCTCAGTACCTTCATAACCCCTGAAGTCAGCCAAATGTAAGGAGTAACTCCTTGCTAAGCACAGGTTTTCCTGTGCATGTCCAACCTTGACCCGAGCGTCGGCTTTGTGCTGCTCTGATTTGCTCCTTCTCTGATGTGATCAAGTGTAAGCATGCCCTTCCTTACGCACCCCCGTGGACCTCTGTGCCCCAGGCAGCTGCACTGTGTGCTGCTGCTAATAGCTTGTCCAGTCCTGCAGCTCGTGTGAGCGTGCACACAGTGCTCCCAAGTCCACGCTGTTGGTTTCCTGTTGTATTTCATGGCTCCTGATGGCAGCCCAGCTGAGGAGTTATGGAATTCATATCCTCTCTGCCTAGGAGAAAATGGCAAGTGGAAGATTTAATATCCCAGAGGGTTAGTGTAGGAAGTTGTACCAGAGGGAAGAAGGTGGGGGTTAAAGCTTCAGGTCCTTTACAAATCTATGCAAGTCAAGGCTGCCAAAGGTTGGGAAGCTGTGAATTAAACCAGCTGAATTGCATGCATGGCACAGTGTTGTAGCACTTTTCCTGAATTCCCTTCCCCACCAGTAATTCCAGGGTTTACGTCGGGAGGAAATGGCCTTGTTTCAGTTGGTGATGGATTTCGCTTAACAGTAGGGAACACTTTGTGATCAGGAAAAACAATCCTATGCCAAAATCTGTGTTGATTCATCTGTGTTGCTTTGGGGTCATACATTAGGATCAGGTCTTGGTATCTACAGCAAACACTGAGTATTCGGATTTGGGGGGGGGGGGGGGGGTTGTGCTGCATTTAACCCCTCTATTGCATGCCTTGGATGAAAGCCTGCACTCTGTGGTGGCTGACATACAGAGATCTCCAGGTCCTTCAAAGATGACCTGGAGATCCTTCAAAGACATTTCTGTGCTCAAGTTACTCCTTACAGTGGAAGGGGCTAAGGGCATGGATTAAGATATGATGCAAACTTCTAGCCTGTGCTCAGAAGGCAATAAATGCAGAAGTCACACATAGTGTTGTATCAGTAGCCCAGTACATTATCAGGACTGCCTAGGCACCCTAGCATGGCTTGCATCCCAGTGGAAATCACTAGTTTGTATTTAAGCAAGGTGTGAGGCAGGAGTCACGCAGAGTGGAGGAAAATGAGAACTTAAGGGTGTCTTAAATCTTTGAGTCTAGAGGAATGGAGCAACTTTGGCAGCAGGTTATCTTGAGGCATGCTGGCAAGAAGCCTCCTTAGGTCAAGCAGGAGAGGTGATGGAGTAGTACTGCTGTTTTCAAGGCCAGGTTGGACAGAGCATTGGGTGCCATGGTCTAGTGTGAGGTGTCCCTGCCCATGGCAGGGGGTTGGAACTGGATGATCTTAAGGTCCTTTCCAACCCAAACCATTCTATGGTTCTATCACAGTATCACACAGTATGTTAGAGATTGGAAGGGACCTCGAAAGATCATCTAGTCCAATCCCCCTGCTGGAGCAGGAACACCTAGATAATGTTACACAGGAATGCGTCCAGGCGGGTTTTGAATGTCTCCAGGGAAGGAGACTCCACAACCTCCCTGGGCAGCCTGTTCCAGTGTTCCGTCACCCTCACTGAGAAGAAGTTTCTTCTCAAGTTTAAGTGGAACCTCTTGTGTTCCAGTTTGTACCCATTACCCCTTGTCCTATCATTGTTTGCCACTGAGTAGAGCCTGGCTCCGTCCTCGTGACACTCCCCCTTTATATATTTATAGACACTGATAAGGTCACCCCTCAGTCTCCTCTTCTCCAAACTATAGAGACCCAGCTCCCTCAGTCTTTCCTCATAAGGGAGATGCTCCACTCCCTTAATCATCTTAGTTGCCCTGCGCTGGACTCTCTCCAGCAGCTCCCTGTCCTTCTTGAACTGAGGGGCCCAGAACTGGACACAATACTCCAGATGTGGTCTCACCAGGGCAGAGTAGAGGGGAAGGAGGACCTCTCTCGACCTACTAACCACCGCCCTTCTAATACACCCCAGGATGCCATTGGCCTTCTTAGCCACAAGGGCACAGTGTTGGCTCATGGTCATCCTGTCGTCCACTAGGACCCCCAGGTCCCTCTCCCCTACACTGCTCTCTAACAGGTCATTCCCCAACCTATACTGGAACCTGGGGTTGTTCCTGCCCAGATGCAGGACTCTACACTTTCCCTTGTTATATTTCATCAAGTTACTCCCTGCCCAACTCTCCAGCCTATCCAGGTCTCGCTGGATGGCAGCACAGCCTTCTGGCGTATCAGCCACTCCTCCCAGCTTAGTGTCATCAGCAAACTTGCTGATAGTACACTCAATTCCCTCATCTAAATCATTGATGAATATATTAAATAATACCGGTCCCAGTACTGACCCTTGAGGCACTCCACTAGTCACAGGCCTCCAACTAGACTCAGCCCCATAGACTACAACTCTCTGGCTTCTCTCCTTCAGCCAGTTCGCAGTCCACCTCACTACCTGATCATCCAGTCCACACTTCCTCATTTTAGCCGTGAGGATGCTGTGTGAGACTGTGTCTATGAAGGTGTTGACCTGCCCCATGGAGGAAGGCAGGAGCTCCAGGCTGGGAGCTCCCAGGGAGCAGATGAACTTGTAGCAGTGAGGCCCCAGCCATGGTTGTCCATGTGTGGAGGCAAGTGGTGTGTGTTAGCGGCATGCTGTGGCTGGTCACTAAGCAATAAGCATCTCTTCCTTCTCTACAGGCAGTCCTTAAGGAGGAAGAAGGTTGGTTGTGGTTTGATGTTTTGTGTTAGGTGGGGATTTTCCATTCAGTTTTACTGTCCCTCACCATTTACATGGCCAGAATGCCAGAGCTGCAGCCTGGCTTTGTGTGGCAGCAGTTGTGGTGAAGCCACAGAGAGGAAGCAAAGTGGTCAAGCAAAGAGGAACTTTCATTTAGTCACGTTTTACTGAGGGTTTTCCTTTAAAAAAGGAAAATTTTTGTTCATTATTATAATGATCAATCATGAAACAGTAGCTAAAAGACAGATCAGCTTCTTCCTTTAACAATTAAAATCTCCATGCTCACCCAAAGTATTTCAGCACCAGATGCCTTGGAAATCTATGAAAATAGAGAAAGAATTGAAGAGATGGGGAAAAATAACAGAAACACTGCATAGATGGAAGATTCCATGCAATGAGTGAGAGCAGTTTAGTGAAAGCCAGCAGGACTCCAAACCACAATAAAAGAAATGCTGCTGTTCAGATGAGTAAAAGAGTAAGAGTTGTTGTCTGGCTCTTGGAGCCTTTATTTTCTTCCTTTTCATCCTTTGTGGATGTGTCTGATATGGAGCTACCAGGTTCTTTTTAGTGAAGCTTTTTGTTTCTGCCACTTGGTCCTTTCTCATGTGCCCTTTCTGACATGAGGCATCAGCAACAAGAGCAGAAGCTATTCAGTCATAGTGACAGAACTCCCAGTTTTGGATGGTAAAATGTTCTGTTGGTTTCATGTCTATAATCTCATGTTTGTCCCTGTGCTTGCATCCAGCACATTTGATGAAATGGAGCATGAAGGGTTGCTCTGTGAGATTCCTGCCCTATCCTGCAGGGCTTAAAGGAAAGGATCCAAATCCCTGAGAGCTTATTCTGGTTGGTGAGCAAGCAAGGAGTAGGTAACCTGTTGGGAGACACTAGGGATTGTTGTAAACTGTTGTGGTAAACTCATCGGGTAGATGACTGAGAAAATCTAAGTGATGCTATATACAGATTACTCCAAAAGCATTGCAAGTTTGACTTAGGAACATGATGATGCCCTGGTTGGGGGTGTGGAGGACCTAGAGCTTGCTGTCTGGGCTTGATTTCCAAATCAGGCACTGGTCTGCACAGTGGTCTCAGCCAAGGCACTTCACTGCTTTGTGCTCTATTCCCCTGACTGCAAAATGGGGACGATAACCAGTTCAACTGATGACAAGTGTGAAAGGAAAAATAAGCATTCTCATTTGATGTTTGTCAGGATGCAGGATGCTGACCTAGATCTGCACAGTCAAACTGCATGTAAGCTGCAGAGTGTAGTTTCATAGGACAGCAGCTAGGCAGATTTACAGTGGCTGGCAATTCACTGCCATCCACGAAGGTTACAAGCATCAATATAAGGCAAGCAGACTGTCTGATACTCCCTGTGTGAAAGGGAAGACGTGTGACACCTCAGGCAGTAAATTCCCTGCAAGAATAAAAGGGAACTTGTAAGGTCCAGGTATATTGGTGGTGGTATGTGGCTTCATTTACATTTACCACAGGGTTGTAATGGACTGATTTCCTCTTTTGATACCATTTAAATGCCTTTCACTATGTTGGCAAAGGGTCATTGCATTAGAGCCTTGAAATACTGATGTACATGTAAAACCCAATACGCTTGTCCTGTGTTGTCAAAATACTGTGGGGTCCTGTGTTCCTGTGGAGCAGCTTGATCCCTGCCTGCCCTGGCTCAACTCATTCTGAGTTGGTTGTGTCTGGTTTGGGGTGTTACAGGCTTCTTACTCCTTTGACTTGATCTCTGGGCTTTTCCTCTTCTTCCTCCTCTGCCCCAGGTTAAGAGGACTCCTCATCCCCTGTGCAGGGACATGAGATCTCATAAGGGCCTTTCATAAGGATTCCATCACCCTAAAGATCTCTGGTAGCAGCACTGCTGCTGCGTCTGCATTGTGCGGGCCAGCCTCTGAGTGCTGACGTCCAGCTACTCCAGGAGGCGGGTGAAATCCAAGTGGCAGGGCAAGCACCTCTGAGGAGATAGCTCCTAACTGTTCCCACAGAGCTTGAAGAAAAAGATTTGACGGGTTTACAGAGGAAAATGGCTGAGAAGGGATTGATAAACACACAGGGAGATCTAACTAGTGTGTCCCATCACTCTGAATAGCTGATCATAGCGAAAGTGCTTCAGGGCAGTGTCGGGAAGGATTTGTTGATGTGAACTCGTGTCTCCCTGAGAGAATCAGGCTGTTTCGGGGAAGGGACCATCCAGGGAAGGTTGTCGTGATGAAGAATGCAACAGCAGTGGGGTGGGCATCTGTGTTGGGAGGAGCTGGGAGACGATCGCCAGCGCTTTCTGAAGGGAGGGCTGTGAGGATGCCAGTTAGGACTTGATAGCTGAGCTTCCTCGCAGCACCGATGGCAACGCAAACTTCCTCTCAGTGCAGGCACATGCAACAATAAGCTCTCAATGCTACCCAGGCACTGCAAATTCCATGCTGCAGCTGGGAATCTCCTGTACCTCCCGTGCTTAGGGCTACCTTAACATGACCACCTGCACAGCAGTCAGCAGTGTGAACAGGCTGAACTGTTGTAGACTACTTCATATAGTCCCTCAGTGCTGGCAGTAGCTCAGGAAAGGACAGCAAACATGCTTTCTTCAGTAACTTCTTCAAAGGTCCATCTGCTGTTGTCATAAGTAGTCAGAAAGGCTCGGGCAGCTCTTTCTGGAAGATCTCAGGGTGATGTACATCGCTGTGTATGAACAGTTTAAGAAGGCCCATGTATCGCAAACACCCAGTGTTTGAAAACTTGATGGGCTAAAGTGGGGAGTCAGTCTGAAGCCCAAGTGGGAGTGTTTGGATGGGAGTTTTATTGGGTGTATCCTGCCAAAGTGCATAAATGGGCAGAGCGGCAGGAAATGCTCCCTAAAATGCTGCTTGTTACAGTTCATGTGAGCCATTGGATGCATCACCAAGGAAGCTTTTTGCTAGAATTGGTCTAGGAGGAAAACCATGACCAAAACAACTGAGTGTCCACTTGAACAATCTTCCCCATATGTGGGAAAAACAGCTGTCGAGGGAGTTGCATAACGCTTTAATGCTGAGTTTCACCATGGTTGAGATGCTTGCTTGGGCGCTTCCCCCATCCCTGGTAGTGTTCAAGGCCAGGTTGGATGGGGCTGGAGCAACCTGGTCTAGTGGAAGGTGCCCTTGCCTGAGGCAGGGGGTTGGAACTGGATAAGGTCCTTTCCAACCCAAACCAAGCTGGGATTCTATGATTTCAGTGGGCTGAAAATGCATGTTCTCAGAAGGACACACTGTTTCAAGGAGGGATGTTTCAAAGATTTTATTAGTAGTTATCATATGCTTACGGTTATATATATGTATATATATAGATATATTAGTTTTGGATTCAGCTATTCTGCATGAGAGTGATCATCAGAGTTAATAATTTCTGGCTGTCAGTAAGGGAAAAGATCCGAAGTTGCCATGCTGGTCAAAGCATCCAGATAAATACTTGTACCATGCTTTGAACATGTAAGTGTGTCGTGGTTTAAACCCAGTCAGGTAACTCATTCACTCACTCCCCTCCCCCTTCCTTCCCTCCCCCTACTTCTGGAGGGACGGAGAGGAGAATCGAAAAGAATGTAACTCCCATGGGTTGAGATAAGAACAGTTTAGTAACTAAGGTGTAACACAAATCACTACTGCTACCACCAATAATAACAATGATAAAGGAAATAACAAGGGAAGAGAATACATCACCTCATCACCAGCCAACTGATAACTCTGCAGTCTCCCAGCCCTTCTGGGTAACTCCCAGTTACCTCCTGGGCATGACGTGCTGTGGTATGGAATATCTCTTTGGCTAACTTGGGTCAGGTGTCCTGTCTCTGCTTCCTCCCGGCTTCCCCTCCTCCCTGGCAGAGCATGAGGCTCACAAAGCCCTTGGCCAAGCCAAAACATCATTGTTATCAGCTCTGTTCCCGAGCCGAAAGTCAAAACCCTGCACTGCACCAGCTACCAAGGAGGAGAAACATGACTGCTACTGCTGAACCCAGGACAAAGTGCAAGAGAAAATTAAGATACACTAAGACTCTGAAGCTTTCAGAAGTGTTAATATGTGCTTTAGGAGAGAGGTGTGTCAGGCTCTTTGAAAGTGTTCTAAAACCCAGCTCAACTGAGCTCGCGCAGGATTGCCAGTGATACGTGTGTGTACCGAAGGAATGCTCTCATTGCCTAACAGTTCCACAACGGGGATGGCAGGTAGTATGGTCACTGCATCCGTTAGCATTGGAAGGCTGAAGTGAGTTCATCCTTGGTAACGATGTTTTCAAACCCTTTTGTAAAGATGCGTGCGTGTGTGTCTTACCCTTTAAGTAAGGCTAACAAATTGAGATGAGCTGCAGCAGCTCTGTGAAGGCTGGGGACACATATACAAGGGCCTGAGTTGATTTATCTTGATGTTTGGTTGAATTCTTTGCATTTTGGGTCCCTTCTGTAACCTTTTCACCTCGTTCTTTTTTAAGGTGGCTGCCTGGCTGTTACAATTTATCATGAACGCATCTCACTTCACTTTTGGCTCCTCTGACGGAAGGAACAGCCGGTCTCCGGGAGGTCAAAGACATTATTTTCCCTTCGTCTTTCTCAGTTTCCAGCACATATTTGTCACTTTGAAAAAGCATGAATTCTGGATTTGATGCACTTTAATTGATTTCACCCTCAACAAGTTCAACTGTCCATCAACCTTTCCTTTCTCTTTCCTCTCCCCCTTCCCTGTATTTATTTCTTTCCTCTGTCCCTTTACTTTGAGAGTGATGTTTTCACTCTCCCACATGTTGAAGCTGTTGCAAAGCTCACGACCCTATCAAGGCTTACTGTCACTAGCTATTTCTCTCATTTTCTTTATCCTCCAAGTTGAACTTTGAATGCTGAGTGAGCATGAAGCCGCCTTATAGGAGTGACGGTCTTGTGGTATCTTACTGATGTGCTCCTTGTCAAAGTAAAAGTGACTGCTGATAGCTGAACTTGGCTCATGGTCTGCTTGTTTTAAGGCAACTGCGTGGAACTGAAAATGTGAGGGGATTAATAATTAGTTCTTGATATACTGGCGTAGGTACTTAAAAGCATTTGCAGTTGTATGGCAGAGATGCATTCCTTTCCTCCTGGGAAGATGTGTATACCCAGTGATGTATACACCTAGTGTAGCATGGTTGTAAATTCAGTTGTGTAAAACGGCATTGGCACCTCACAAAATGGGATGCTGTCACTCTGTCTCTTGCTTGCTTGGTGAATTTGTGTGGTGGGAGTGCACATATGGAGTAAATAGAGTATGTAGGTGGATAACAACTTGGGCTTTGCATTGAAGTCCTTTAAGTGTGTCTTGAAAGCCAGAAGCCTCTTAATAGAGGAAGCTGAAAGAGAAGTTCATAGGGGTTCTTCTGTTGTCATTACATCCTAGTTATTATCAGGACATGGGCAGGGGAACAGGCTTCTGTTTACAACAGTTCCCTTCAGTGTTTCACGGTGTTCATCGGAACCCACAGAGACAGTGGCTTTCCTCGGATTAATGTGCCCTCACTGAAGAACCCCAGCACTTGGGATGAGCAGAATTGGGTCATGATACTTCATGTTTTCAACCTGTAGTCCAGGGTAACTGAGCAAACCAAGCCTCTTGCTGATATCTGTGCTGTACTTCTCCCACTGTCGGGAAGAGCGGGATTACTGTGTGTCCCCGTCTCGCAGGGGGAAGTGCTGTCCATGGTCCTGGGTGGCCACAGGTGGAGGGCTGGGGGCAGCTTCCTCGCTCCCCCTTAAGCCAACCAGTGCAGGTCAGCTCTGCAAATGAAGCCCAATATTTGCATGGATGTGGAGCCGAGTGCTCTTTAAGGAGTTAGAAAGGGCCCCCACTCATCCCAGTGGGCCTTGCACTAACCCTTCCCTTCCACGGTTTGGTGCTGAGGGCTTTTGTGCCTTGTGAAGACTCTTGTCCAGTGAGACTGGACTGCCATATACTGGATCATCTTCTCAATGTTATATGAATCTTGGGAGGAGAAAATCCTGGACCATTTATCAGAGGTAGATGGGATTCCTCACTGGCAAACCTCCTGCAGTTTAATTCTGTGGTTAGGTATTTCTAGCACAGGATTCTTGCTTAAAACACTACTTTGAGGCAAAGGTCTCTGGTTTTTAGTTTAGAGATTGATTTGCTGCCTATATCCTTTGGAATTCTTGTTATTGTGTGGTGATGATTTATTTTTTTCTCACTAGGCTTCTCAGGAAAATGTAACAGCTTTCTGGTGGCCAGAGCTATGATGTGGGAAGAGCTAAACAGTGTTCTGTGCTTGTGTAAATGGCTGTTAGCAGCTTCTTGCAACGTTGGGGAACCTAAGGCTCAGAACAAAAGGTTCATTTTATATGTCATTTAATATGACACTAGAATGTTTCAAAGGACATAGAAGGATTTCTTTTCTTCTTGTGAGTGGGTACTATCCATTCCTCTTAAATCCAGTGCTGTGCCTGAGGGAGGAAGACATGGAGAACTCTGAACAGAATCCATTAAGCTACTATAGCCACTATACTGAACAGGAAGGAGGTAACCTAGTGAGATGAGGTGAACTGCTGCCTTACTGCATTCTTCAGAGTCTTTTCTATGGCCTTTGATTCCAGCTGAGATGCTGATGTGACAGGAAGTATTCATACCACCTATTTTTAATAGATAGTCAAATAGAGAGGGGGAGACTGAGGGAGATGATGAAAAGAAGATGCAGAACAATTGCATTAGGCAGTTGGTAATTTCAGTCTGAAGAGCTCTGAATTCCCCTTGGAAATCTTCTCTTGGGAGTCTTAGTTCTTAAGTTAAATGACTAATTAGAGAATGTTCACACCACAGATCAGCCCAGCAAGGAAAGCACATAAGAGCTAATGTTGCTTACTTGCTCCCAGTGGAAGCTGAAGATCTCGGGAGCTTGCGTAGGCATTTGTCCTCCTGGAAGTCTGTACCTGTTGCCAGGACATTGGAGAATTTGGGAGAGGGAGGTGGCAACAAGGAAAATCCCCTCTGACAAGACAGGGCCTGTATCAGTTCCTCTCTCAAGCCAGTTTCTTTGTCTCGTTCTTTCTCTGTTCCAACATCTTTAGTGAGTTAAAAATTGGAAACTAAGTGCCCCAAGCTGAGAGATGTGCAGCACCCAGCAGGACGCTGACCTTCCTTGTAGGTAACAAATTTCATGGTATGTAGGCTGAAGATGCCTGCTGAGGAAGGAGGGAGGGGGATGGCTTGAAGGGGGGTTAAAGTTACAACGCCAACATCTGTTACTGAGGGTATGGGCTGCAGTGCTCTGCCATTCCCCTCGGCAAGCAGGTTTGGCTTCAGGAAGGCACAAGGGAATGGCCTTGGGGCACCCAGAGGAAAAAGGTAGGAATGGGCCCAGTGGGCATTTCTGAGGTGTAAATACATAGAATCGATCCTGAGGTGGTGGTTGCAAAGGGATACAAGGTGGAGAATAAGTCTTCAGAAGCAGGAATGGTATCTTCATCTGTGTAATATACAAAATCAGAGTTTGGTTTTCTTAGGGCCTCCCCAGGGGTTAGTCATTTCTGAGTAATGGAAGGAAGGGCAGCTATTATTCAACTCTCTCCTAGTTACTAAAAGTCCCTCCTCTGATAACTTCCTATGTTCATATCCTCTTCGATCGGTCTCTAACTTCAGTCTTCCTTGCTATTTAGCACTATGAGCAACTGCAGCAGAAATTAGGACTGGCAGTCAGAAATCATCTGCAGAGATGTTGTTGGGCCCCAGGTTCCATGCAGGAACAAGAAAGTCTGGGCAATGGCGTCTCCTGCATTCAGCTGGGAGACTTTACCCCAAATACCTTCTGTCATCTCAGCAGACCCCATCCTTTTTGCTTTAATTGATTCTGTCTGCTTTTAATGTGATGTGCAAAGAGACCTCCCACTGTGAGCACTCCAAGAGTCTGGTCTGTGCTAGGGCAGTTGGAAGCCGGGTGTAGCTGTGATCAGAGGCAGGGTTATGTTATTGGAATAGGGACAACAAGGGTAGTTTTGGGAGGTCCGCTGAATTCTGTAAGTCCAGTAACAGTTAAAATGGGGCCTTTTACTTCCATCATGGGTTTGTGGGAAGTGCTTGTACAAAACTTACAAGCAATGAAGTGTGATAATAACTTTTCATTACAGCCATACAGGGTTTCCTAAAGAAGTCTACAGTCCTGTCGTGCTGGCTCCTTGCAGGCATGCACTGGGAGACAATTGGCCATCTGCATGTGCGAGATGGGGATTCAGGGGCAAGAAGGGAGTAGACTTGGCTGTGGTCACCTAATGGCACGATGGCAGGGATGAGAGTAAATAGGGAAGTTGAAAAGGAAGCTTGCTTTGTGAGGCTGGTCAGCCAAAGTCTGAACAGCTGCTGAGTTTGTTTTATCAAATCCAAATATTTTAGTTCAGCAGTGTAGTCACTGGAGTCAGTGGTTGTCCGGGCTGACACGGTGCTGTTGAAACAGTCAGGTTTGAGGGTTCTCTATCCCCTGCCACTGCAGGGGTCAGAGCTCTGCTGTCTCTCCTAAGACATAGGAGAAAGAGGGGTGTAGCTTACTCTGGGTGAGAGCAATCCTATTTCCGATGGCTTAGGTTTAGAGTCTTGAGATATTTTAAGGTCTTTCCAAAGCTGCTCTGTGGCCCTGTTTGGTCTGATTAAGTGTGCTGGTGCTTGGACCACAAATGAGGGTTTTAAGTCAAATGGGAAGAGTTTTGAGGGGGGAAAATAGATGAGTAAGTATTCAGAGTGAATTATCTGCACATTCCTGAAGTGGTTGGAGTAATAAAATATAGATATCTACACATTTATTCGGATCATGCCATTAGTGGTCTGTGCTTCTGTGTCAGGCGGTAGTGTGCTGGGCAAGGTTGCAAGGCATGGAAGTAGATACTCCGAAATACAAGAGTATACATGAAAGGCTCAGGTCTTTGAACGACCTAGTTGAGGTGTTCCAGAAGTATCTTGCCCCAAAACATCAGGGATGTGGTGAGGTGCTAAGAGCAATGCAAAACAAAGAAAGAGGTTGAGGTTAGGGTAGAGCAGATCCCATATAAGCAGATCCTCCCAGACCCGGTTCCTTATGGTAGCTGAGTCCTCATTGTTCTCCGCAGCTTTGTTCCTATCTGATAGTTTTGTTTAGAATTTGATAGAAACTGTAGAAACTAATACCATATAGTTGCTTTTGCTCGAAATATTCCTTCCTTTCCTTCCCTGTCCCAGCAATCTTCCCATTTTTGTTAACTTATGTTTTAGCCATTCCACCTGATCCTTCGATATTTCCCTATTTCAAGGCGACTTAGCCAAATGGCATGTTTCCATGGCTGATATGCAGGAATAATGCAGGGTTAATACCTAATTAGTTCCCAGGGACATTGAGCTTTTCATGGATATTCAGTAACAAAAGCAACAACAAACAAGCTGAATTCCTAGGTCTTAATTCAACGGGGAGGAGGAAATAGGAACCTAAAAATGCCGGAATTATTCAGTGCAGTATGAAAGCTTAGTTCTTTCTCTCATGAAGCTCGGAGGATGCTATAGCAGCTGACAGGGAAAATAGAACCTCCTCCTCCTCCTGCTTCCCTCCCTCCCTTCAGGGGGCCTGTGTATGTGTCTGTGTTTGCAGCCCTGACATCTCCAAACAGGAAAATTCCCAGTTCTGGAGCACACTTGAAACAGCTCCTCGCCACAACCCCCAGTCAACCCGACCCCGTGTTTCTGACGTGCAGCCGTACCTGATCAGTTGTATCCTGAGCAGCTGGATGTGATCAGAGCTGGCCTTCCACCTTGCAGGATGGCGAGCATATGGGCCCGCGGGCTCCAGCCATTATGTTCCTGAGCACAGAGCTTGGCTGCCTGTGGCTACAGAGGGGTTTTTTTCCTCCCCTCTCAAGCAGTCGCAAATAAACCTTTCTGATAAGTAACAGGCAAACAAACAGGCCCTTTGGCTCTGTAGGCAGTGAGAAGGAGGGAGGA